GTATGCATGTGTGGTTGTGTGTGTGTGTGGGTGGCAGACGTAGAGCAAAAAATAAACTGTGGGAGAGATTAAACACATTTACATGCTCTTTATATAGGTTGAGAAATTTCTACTGTCATGGAAACTAATAACTGAGTTTTTTGTATGGCTGTCAAGCTTCTGTTAGGTTCTAAAATGTTGACATGTTGGTGGTAAACTTGCATGTGTCTGCAAGTTTTGAACAATTAGCTTTCTTATCAGTTTTTTCTGCATTAAGTCCACTTCAGTTACTTTTGAACCTCACATCACTTGAATGTGATTGTTTGTCAAACTTTATTTTGTAAATCAAATGTATCAGATACTGTAAAAGCTTTCTTTCATGTCCAGGCGTTCAAAAAGGATTTCTCCAGTGATGGATTGAGGCAGACGTTAAAGTGTTTGCTTTACTCGTGCAGCTCAGAGCATCAGCCTCTTAGAGCCTCATCCACTCACTGTACAAGTAAAGCCAGGAAAGTAAAAGAGAAGTGAAGCTGTGGTCTGTATAGACCAGAACTGACGTGAAGTTCTTTCATTTGCCACAGAGGACACAAACTGCCCAGTGTTTATCTGTGGCCTTTTGTGTTTATGCACAAGAGTGATGTGTGTTAAACATTATGTAACTGCACCTGAGTTCACCCATGCCTTTTGAAAATACTACTCTGTATGTATACGTGTTTGTGTGTGTGTTTGATCTGTTTTTATTATCTAATGAAGTACAAACATCAGCTGCAGAAAATGCAAACATGGAAAGATGGTCCTTTGTGCTCTGTTCTCCCAGCTTCTTGAGAAACGCAGTATTTGTAGGTTGTTGTGGTTAAAAGCTGCTGTGTTTTTCTCATCTCACAGGATTCATGGATTGATCAGTGGTTGATTGATTAATTGTTTGATTCTTAGTTTAACTTATTGTAAATTCAAACATTAGAACTGTTTTAAACCTGGAAAGTAAGATGACACATTCACAGGAACAGTTATTTAAAGCTGGTCTGATATTAATCAGTATATGTTAGCATGCTATCACTCTAAATTAAGATGGTAAACATGCCTGCTAAACATAAGCATGTTAGCATTGTCATCATGGCCATGTTTGTATCCGTAGATATAGACTAGGCTTTATTAACAATAGATGAAATGAGTATGTACAATATAGTGATGCACCCACAGAAGTTAAGTAATAAAGCATTGTTCAAAATGATCTTCCCTTAATATTAAATCCATCTATCAGCCCTCTGATATACCCTCATTGTGTGAGTATTGAGGAAGATGGAATAAAAGAAATAGCAAACATTGTAGCATTTAGACTTCTTCTGAAGGACGTAGGTCTTTCAAATTGGAAGGTGAGTGAATGAATGTAAGTTGATGTTACATAATTGAGGACACATTGCTCCTTTTGAAGGGAAAGTATTCAACACTTTTGCTGTTGGTGTGGGAGGTGTGCATATGGCTTTGCTGGAATAACAAAACAATGCTATGAAGCTGCAATGCAGAATGTACATACATTACATTAATCAGAACTACTGAAACATAAATATTTAAGCCTCAAATTCTTCACATTATTACCTGTGGTATATACACAGTATGTGGGTTTAGATACTTTTAGAAAAGCATTGACTTTGTCGTGATGCAATCCTGTCCTTTCTTTGGTGGTGCTATAGTGATAGTTACCAAGGACGCATCTGAAGCCTGCAGACTACTCCAGGAGGATTGTTACATAACAGTGCTTGTTGTTTCGTGTTCTCGCTCGTCACCTTGTTGTCTGCTGATCCTGAGTGAGAGTGCGACTCATGATGGGATGTTACCTTAACAAGCCTACAGGGCACAGGTCAAAAACACAGTGGGTGGAACTAAAAGTACAGAGACATACAGTAACCATGCAGAAGGGCACTTATGTAACTGGGTATTGTTTTAACGTATGTTCCAGGCATTGTGTCAACTTTCCTAAAAAGCTTATCCTTCCTCGTTTGCCCCTCCTCACCCTGTCTGCCTGCAATCTTTGTGTAGTCATCCTTTACCATTCACCCACCCTATCAGTCATTTTAACCCACCTTTTAAGTTGATATGCTTCTTAGCAAACATTCGCTTAGCTACACATTCAGCAGTGACGGAGCAATATTATCATTATTTTCTGATAAATGCAAGTCCTATATTCACTCTTTTTTAAATTTCTGAGAAAAATATCTGGCTCTGTAGCTGCTAAATGCTCCACTATGTTCATCAGCTAGTCGCTGTTGGATGCTGAGCAGGTAGTGTGCAGTGGGTTTTTAGTGCTTTTTCACTGAAAACAGCTGCCTGCTGAGGCCAAAAATGACGTTTTGCGTTGAGAGTAAACAAAAGCAGTAAAGTTGCAGCCGAACAGCATGACTTTCTGAGAAATTCAATAATTATCTTTCTTCTACACTTAATATGAAAGCTACAGCCAGCAGCCAGTTATCTAAGCATGGTGAACGGAAATAGGTAAGAACATGTGTGTGGAAACAACACATTGTTTTAAAGGGGGGTTATGAGTTGGACTATTTCTTGGTCAGGTACAATGACTTCCTGGAGTCTCTGGTGGTTGCCTGGCAACCTCACACATCACAAGACACATGACAATCATGGTTTTTGTACAGTTTAACTAAAAAGACATATTGTGTTAATAAGTTAGCTTTAAAGGTGCTGGTAGGTGGATTTTATTAGCTTTGGATGGAACCAG